ACTACCCTGTCGAGTTCGAAGCTTCCGTGTTAGAGGGAACTTCACTAATAATCATACTTTATTTATAAAGCCTTTAAAACAGCCACAGCTGCCACAAAGTGCTGTACATATAAAATCAAGAACATTTGAACACATGAAACAGTTGTTAAAACATTAAGATCAATAAAAACAGTGCAGAACAAATTCATCAGTCAAGGATTCTTCCCCCAACAGCTTACTCCAAAGTGGAACAAACCAGTTCTGTTGGTGCTAAGATGGTTTCTTTGGCACACCTCCTCCTCTGGAGCTGGCCCTCTTCCTGGCCAACAGTCATGTCAAACTGGTTCAAAACCAGCATGGACTGAGCATGGGCTTTGTTGGTTTTGAACCAGTTTGACATGACTGAGGGCCAGCTCCAGAGGAGGAGGCGTGCCAAAGAGACCATCTTGGCACCAACATAACTGGTTTGTTCCACTTTGGAGTAAGCTGTTGGGGGAAGAATCAGTTTTGTTGTGTGCTTCCTTGACTGATGAAGCCTTCTGGATGGAAGGTGAAACATTTCAGCACAAAAAAAGAAACTGTCCAGATGATGGAGACTTCCTGGTGGGCTGGTCTGATGTGTGGGCTGCAGGACCAGCACTGCCTGTTTTTTTATTTTTTTTTATTTACAACTTTTTATTAACAACATATAAGGCACAGTTTCTTTATTTGTGAGTCGCACCACATGTGGTACATGTGGTGGGATGTAATTGTGTACACTGTGTCCCAGTTACATCCAACAAAAGTATAAAATGTAAAAGAAAAGCAGTAATAAGATCCAAGATATGAACAAGAAAACTTTAAAATGTATATGAACACAGAACACCTCTACCCAGGGCCGCCGGCAGCTCTCTTTTATTATTTATTTGTTTTTTTGCGACCTGTCAATCAATCGAGTAGGCGTGTCGGCAAATGACCAATCAGCGGCCTCCGTTGGTCCTGAAGGTAAACGCCCCTTGTCTGCGGAGCTGCCTGCAGCCCATCATGGTGGACGCTCGAGTATGAAGTGTGCACGTCTCTGGACAGTGTGCGCAGTGTCTGCGCGGCTCACAGAGTACACGCAGTACGCCCGAGTCTGTGGGAGTGTTTAGAGTGTACAGCTTACGCCGTGCCCCAGGTCGCCTGCGTGTCCATGAATATGATCTGTGAACGTGTAATAATCCCTCCACAGAGTCTGTAATCTGAGCACAAGGGTTGAGCCCCACCTCCAGGGTTTTTCAGTTTGTGCTGCTCCTGCAGATGTGCAGCTGACCTTTGACCTTTTCTCTCTGTTTTAGTGGAGGTGGGCGGAGCTTCTGTGCATTCATGATGGAGGACAGTCGGACCGGTGTTTCCCCTACTTCCTCTGATCACAGTTCCTCCCCCGCCCTTTCCATCAGCTCCTCTCCCTCAGTGTCTCTCCCCTCCACCCCCTCCTCCTCATGCGGCCCCACCCAGCAGACCACGCCCCCTTTGGATGTAATCAACGAGGGCAGCGCCGAACTGAGCCTGGTGATTGATGCAGAGGTGGCCCAGCAGGCCTGTCAGCAGGTCCTACAGAAAGTTCAGCTCCAGCAGGTGGAGGGTGACCCCACCCACCTGCAGAACAGGGTGGAGCAAGAGAAGGGGTCCCCTCACCTCACAGCCCCCACCGTTAAACCGCCGCACATATGCGAGGATGACCTGGCCCCTGGTTCAGTGAAGAGCGCCCGGCGGCGGCAGAGACATAATCCCTCCAAACAGTCCTGGCTGCTGCGCCTCTTTGAGTCCAAACTCTTTGACGTATCCATGGCGATATCGTACCTGCACAACTCCAAGGAGCCTGGCGTGCAGGCCTACATCGGGAACCGACTGTTCAGTTTCCCACACGATGACGTGGACTTCTACCTGCCGCAGCTGCTCAACATGTACATCCACATGGATGAGGACGTTGGAGACGCCATCAAGCCCTACGTGGTGGGTGTGGCCTTAGAGCGCCATTACAGCTGAGTTTGAAGCATTTTACTGTCAATCATTTTGAACAAACATGACTAACTGTGACATCACTCTGAAGGTTGCATGAACATGAAGCTAATTGGTTTAAAGTTGAGTCTAATGTCACTGCACATTTGATTTGTGTGGGCTGTTCTGGCCCTGCTTTTGGTCTTGCAGGTTCACCGCTGCAGGCAGAGCATCTCCTTTAGCCTGCAGTGTGCCTGGCTGCTGGGAGCGTACTCCTCTGACATGCACATCTCCACTCAGCGCTACTCCAGAGGAACCAAACTCAGGAAGCTCATCTTGTCAGATGAACTGAAACCTGCAGGGCCTCGGACTCGTAAGGAGCCCCTGACTCTGGCCCCTTTTTGCCCGGTGGCCTCCACTGGGCCTCTTAGAGCAGAACACAGCCTATCCCCATCCAAACGGACCCATCAGCGTTCCAAGTCAGACGCCACAGTTAGCATCAGCCTGAGCACCAACCTGAAGAGAACTGCCAGCAACCCAAAGGTGGAGAGCAGCCAGGACGAGGTAAGGTCTTCAGCAGGTTTTACAGAGTGATGCAGGTCTGGTCTCATTCATTCAACCTTTATTTAGACGGTAAATCCCACTGAGCCTCGAGGACTCATTTACAAGAGAGACCTGATTTAACAAAGAAAGATGACAACAATGGACAACAGCAACAACAATAAACAGTTATAAAAAGTCATACTGCAGGGTTTTTTTATTTTATTTTTTTAAACTATTTGTTTAAAATAGTAGGATGATGATTTAGCTGTAGGATGTAGGACAGTCGGACCGGTGTTTCCCCTACTTCCTCTGATCACAGTGTAGGATGGCTAAAAGAAAAGTAACAAAAAACAGCTAGATTCTAAGGCGAATGTAGAAACTAAAAACAGGAACATGTCTGCATTGGTCCCTGCCAGGAGTCCAACAGATTCTTAAAGACACTTAGAGAGGTCAAAGGTCAAGAGCTTCAGATGTTTTTGTAAGATATTCCAGGAAACAGGAGCTGCATGAACCACAATTAGTCCATGTTCACAGAACCAGAACAATAAAGCCCCCTGACTTCCTCTGGAAGCTCTGTTTCATTTATCCAGTGTAAGAGCAGGTTTAACTCGAGGGGTAACTAAACTGATGCCCGGGTTCCTCTAAGGCCCGCCACACGGTGTCGTGTTTTAGAACACCTTTAACTACAAGTCCCAGAATGCACTGGATCAGCCCGTGCCACTGCTTCCTGTATGATGACCCCACCGTTTGTTGACCCATACAGCAGGTGTTGCATTTGGTTTTCAGTTTGGACGAGACGACAGACAGGAAGAGGACAGGAAGTGAGGCGAGGCTGTAGGCGTCATCTACAATTTCCAAGGTCAGCTTGTAAACTTCAAGACCGTCATTTGTTTTCACAGAAATCACATCAGACGTTTATAAAGCAGGTAGCTCTGTTTGGAAAGGGACTCACCACCAGCAGAACCTCAAAATTCATCAGAATCAACTTTATTGTTATTGCACAGTTAAGCACAGTGAAAGTACATTTCAGGGCAGACGGAGGTGCACGGGGCTGCAGCCTTGTTGTGAAGTGCTGCCATTATCGTTTAGATCAGAAAAGGGAAGAAAAACATGAACAATTGATTTGACTTTAATAGTTCCTGTTTGGTTTTAGTGGGCTGTCAGTGCTGGTTTGATCTAAAAACAGAGTCAGAGTTCAGGAGGTTTGACCTGTGAGGACGAGAGTCCATCACCCTCTGAGGACACAGAGCCAGAACACAGCCCACCCGTCCGTCGTCTCTCTTCCTCTTTGTCATGGGTTCTTCGTAGGAACTCATGCGGTGGGCCTGGGCACCATAAGCATCATCATCATCATCATGACTCCAAAAATGAGGAAAAATCATGGAGGGCACGTCGGGAGTGTGAAGGCTGTGATTTTATTGACACTCCTCCCCAAAAACATAAGTGAGGAGTAGGAGGGAAAATGTAAAAAATGTAAACATACATCAAGCTGCTTTCAATATTTACAACTCTCTGTCTTTCTCCAGAGTTTTTTCTTAGTGTTTCACATCAGTGTTACCTCCTCAGTAACCAGGCCAGACTGACGTACCTTTCAAAAAATTTGATATCTGTACCAATACCTTCAATTCGGTGTCGGTTCCTGAATGGTACTTTTTTCTGTACCAATTTTATAATTAATATTAATTCTAACAAGATGAAAATTACATTACACATTACAGTACAAATCTTGAGTTTTATTTTTTTAACTTTAGTATTTTTCAATTCCAAACAGTTTTCTTACATAAATAAACAAATAATTTCCAGTGCAAAAGAACAGTTGCAAACAAGTGAGGACCTTTTCACTTAGCAGTTTTCTTCAGAAAAATCAACATGTCTGTTTTCTCTGGACACAAACAAGCCTGCTCCTGGCTGACGGTGTCTCCAGCAGTAGAAAATGTTCACTCTAAGGGTGTGAATGATGCTTGTTGCACACACAGATACCTGGTTGCCAAGCTTGATGGCATTGGCATAGTGTCCCTCACATTCCATCAGCAGGTCACTGAATTCACTGAGGTTAGGGTTGATTGCAGACTTCTGTACCTCTGTATCTGTTCTGGAATCTTCTCTGTGGTTTAGGTCTCTTATCATCTCTCTAATTGACATTAGAACACAAAGCATCAACAATAACATGGTTGTTATTATTGCTCAAAAACCAGATAAAGGTTTAACTGGTCAACAATGTCCTTTACAACTTACCTCCACCATGCAGCCTCCACTGTAGAAAACAGCAGCAAACTTTTAACAACAAAGTTTGTGTCTGTCCTGTGGCCCCATCTTACTTTTCTTTTATCCTTTTGTCCTCCTCACATCATTGTCAGAGCCTCCTGTGAGGAGAGACAGTGAGCATTAGGTGAACTGTTTACCTGATGGATGAGCATATTTTTACAAGCTAAGCTTTATCTGTTACCATCAATCTTTAGTTAGGTTTTGACTTTAGCTAGCTACATAGCATAAGGCTACACACTAATATCTTAAAGTTAGCATTACATGGATCCTAGTTTTAGTCACCGTAATGTACGTATTAAGTTGCAGTAACAGTGTTTCCTCAGTAAGGACTGAACTAGACAAAAGGACCTTCTACTCCGCTCCTGTTTCCTGGAATATCTTGCAAAAATATCTGAAGCTCTCGACCTTGCCCTCTCTAAGTGACTTTAAAACTCTGTTAAGTTCCTGGCACAACCAATGCAGACATGTTCCTGTTTTTAGTTTTCTAAATTGCTTTATAATCTAGCTGTTTTTTTTTTCTTTTCTTTTTTCACTACTATTCCTCTTGATTGTCCTTTTGGTTGCTATTTTGTTTTGATTTGTAAAAAAAAAAAAACATTTTGTATGCCTATTTTATAACTGTCTATTGTTGTCGTTGTTATCCATTATTGTCATCACTCTTAGTTAATAAATCAGGTTTCTCTTGTAAATGAGTCCCTGAGGCTCAATGGGATTAACCTGTCTAAATAAAGGTTGAATGAATGAAAAAAAAAACACCAGTTGAAATCCCAGTCACAGCTCCGTCCTCCGTGCAAAGCAGAGTCCGGTTGCGGAGATTTTGAATCAGGCCATTCAGGCTCCAACATCCACAGGCTGACTTAAATGTTGAGAGGAGGCGGCTGCAGTCCTCTGTTTTTGCAGTCAAACATGGAGCAACTTTACGCTTTTAAATTCCGTGTATATTTCTTATATTTTGGAGTCTTACTTTGTCTTTTCTTTCTTTCTATCCTATTAAAAAAAAAAAAAACCTACACTAGATAGTCACTATAATAAATATTTCATAATAATGGTGTGGAGAGGATGGCTGTAAGGGGAGAAGGGAGGCCATCAAGCGAAAAAAATAAATAAATAAATAAATTCCGTGCACGGTCAGGCACTGAATATTAAGGCTTGCCTTTAGAAACTATGTGATCCCCGTTTGTGGGTGTAACCACGTGTTTTCCTATTTTTTCCTGTGTTGCAGCGCTGTCATTGGCTGTAACTTTACATGTGGTTGAAACCACGTGTAACGTTACAGTCAATCACCAAAACTTGACACTGAAAGAAGAGGCATATTTTGATCCATACACTGACCGAAGCAGTTTTGTTGGTACCATTAAAAAAAATGAAGTTCATTACTCAGCCCTAACTCCAGCAGGGCCAGAGGCTCTTCTTATAAACCCATATCGCCATCCACAATCAGATCAACAAACAATTAATCACTTATTTTACCACATCACGCTCTTGTTCTGAAGTCGGGTCTCGGTGGCAGCATCTTGAGCAGGTAGGTCCAGACATATCTTTCCACAGCCACCTCTTCCAGCTCTTCTGGGAGGACTCCAAGGCATTCACAGGCCAACCAAGAGACATAGTCTCTCCAGCATGTCCTGGTTCTTTCCCGGGGTCTCTCTCCAGCCGGACTTGAAGCACCTCCCTACGTAGGCGCCCAGGGTTCATCCTTATCAGATGAAACATCTAAACTGGCTCTTTTTGATGCAGAGAAGCAGCGGTTCTACTTTGAGTCTCTCCCAGATAACTGAAATTCTCACCCTATCTCAGCTCATTTCAACCGCCGCCTGTATCCACGATCTCATTCTTTCAGTCACTACCTAGAGCTTGTGACCATAGGTGAGGGTAGGAATGTAGACTGACTGGTAAACAGAGAGCTTTGCCTTACAGCTCAGCTCCCTTTTCACCACAACGGACCGGCACAGTGTCCACAATACTGCCGCTGCTGGACCAATCAGACTGTGTCAATCTCACATTCCTTTCTTCCCTCTCTCGTGAACAAACACCTGAGGTACTTGTAATCCTCCACTTGAGACAGAACTTCACCCTCGACCTGAAGAGAGCAATCCTCCCTTTTCTGACTGAGGACCATGGCCTCAGATTTGGAGGTGCTGATTCTCATCCCAGCCGCTTCACACTTGGTTGTGAACCGCTCTAGTGAGAGCTGAATACAATGACTCCAACAGGACCAAATCATCTGTAAAGAGCAGAGATGGAATCCTGAGGCCACCGAACCGGACTCCCTCCACCTCCTGGCTGCACGAAGAAATTCTGTCCATAAAAGTTATGACAGAATCAGTGACAACGAGTAGCCCTGGCTGAGTCCAACTCCCACCTTGAAGGGGTCTGACTTAATACCGACAATGCGATACAAACTCTCGCACCACATGTATAGGAACTGAACAGCCCGTAACAATGGGCCCCCAATCCCATACTCACAGAGCACCCCCCACAGTGTACCCCGAGGAACCGGATCTTCTCCAAGCCCACAAACGCTGTGGAGCTTTTTAACTACTGCACCGACCTCAGCCACAGTTATGGACAGACCAACCCCAAAGTCTCTCGACTCAGCTTCCTTCAGGGAAGACATGCTGGTGAGATTGAAAAGGTCCAAGAAACATTACTTCCACCTGCCTACTTCCTGTTCAGAACCTAAACTGTTTTTATGAGAAACCTTTGATGTTTTCTAACATCTCCTCAGGTCCTTTTTCTTGTTTCTTTTTAAAACTTAGAATTCTGAGTTAACCCTAAATGCAGCATGAAGGTTTTAAGTCCAGTTTGTAGGGTCAGATTAAGGGTTCTGATGAGTTTGATAAACCCAACCCTCTTCCTCTGACCCTCAGGATAGCAGCTCCAGCACTGACAGTCTGGAGTTTGAACCCAGGCCCGTAAGTTCTAACACTACATGTTCTGGTCTCTGGGGTGCCTTGAGGGTTTTTGTTTCTAGTTCAGTCCACAGACTGTGGTTCTATCTCTGTGTTCTGTTGGAAGTTCTGGGTGAATCAATCAAAATCTGATCTCAGTTCAGCCGTCAGGTCTTCTATTGATCAATGTCTGTGTGTCAGGTGTTCTATACTCCTGGTTCTGATCCGAAAGTTCCTCAAAAAAGATTCAGATTTTCAGAATTTCTGGTTCTGATGGAGATTTAAATCAGCTTTAAAATCCAACGTTTCCAAGTAAATCAGAATTTTTAAACCTGACCCCCAAACATCAGCTGTCTCTGTCATCTGTCACTCACCTGAGCATTAGCTCAGCCCCCTGTGATGCCTGTGTCTCCTGTGACGCCTGTGTCTCCTGTGACGCCTGTGTCACTTGTGATGCGTGTCACCTGTGATGCCTGTGATGCCTTTGCCGCCTGTGACACCTGTGTGTCTGTGTTTGGTGCAGCCAGTTCGTCTGACTCCTCAGAGGGAGTTCATCAAGTCTCTGATGGGGATCGGGAAGCGCTTGGCCACGCTCCCCACCAAAGAACAGAAAACCCAGCGGCTGATCTCAGAGCTGTCGCTGCTCAACCACAAGCTGCCAGCCCGAGTCTGGCTCGCCACCGCCGCCTTCGACCACCATGTGGTCCGGGTTCCGCACACGCAGGCCGTGGTCCTCAACTCCAAGGACAAGGTGAGACACACAGATCTCCTGCTGGCTTTTTTAAATTTTGATTTGATTTCTGAATTTCAGAATCAGTTTATGAAACTTGGAAAAAGAAATGGCCCTTAATCATTATAAGGCCCGGCCTGTACTGGCCCGACCCGGGTTCTGCCCTGGGTTTTGAGTGCTGGCCTTGGGCAGTCTGGTCACATTCCGGCTTGAGTTTTGGTACCCAGACACCTGGGGTTTTATTTGGGGTCGGGCTGGTGCTGCAGATTTGACATCAGCAGACTGCTGGCTGGTCCTCTGGCCCACGGGTCCCAGATGAGTGGTACTTCCAGCGACTGCTGCGTACCTACTTCTCCTTCAGCTACGTGCTTCTGGCTGGTTGTGTGATAGAGAGAGCTGCACTGTGCCATCTCTTATCAGGACTATTGAGGACTATCTGGCAGTGTCCACGGACAAACTCACTGCCTTTGTCGGCCTCCTCATGCATCCACGTTGCCTCCCCCATGGTGCAACAACCTAGGAAATGTGAAGGCACTAATGGCTGTGTTGCTCACTTGGGTGGCTTTTGCTGGGTACCCCACCCATTCCACATGCATATGTCTTATATCATACAGATGTATGCTGCTTTTTCTTGTGCTGAGGTTTTTTTGCAACCTTACATTATGTCCCGTCACAGCTCAACCGAGCTGTCTGATAAACACTGCACCATCTCTTATCAGGGCTATGCCTGAGGGTGTATGTGTGTGTGTGTGTGTGTGTGTGTGGGGGGGGGGGGGGGGTCAAGGGACCACTGTGAGACATGTTTTTTGAATACCTACCTTTTCCTCATGTTTTCCCTTTCCTTATCTAATATGTTGTTTGTCTGAAACAGGTCTCTCTTGTAAATGAGTGCTCGAGGCTCGATGGGAACTAACCTGTATAAATAAAGGTTGAATGAAAAAAATGTTTCTTTAAAAAAAGTAGCAACGCAAAAATAGCACCAGTGTCGTGGACCAATGACGAGGTGCAGTTATTGCTGCGTTGAGATTCACCCTGTGTGATGATCCCGCCCACATTGAAGCGGCAGTCTGCTGGAAGCAACCAAAACCAGAGCTGAAACTGACTGTGGCCGGACCGGGCTTTACAATGCATAAGCGGCGAGTCTAGAGCTGTTGCTGCTGGGTCTTGTGGTCCTGGCACCTATGGACCTGGGTCTTGTGGTCTTGACGGTTGGGTCTTGTGGTTCTGGGTCCTTTGGTCCAGGCTACTGGTTCCTGTGGTCCAGGCTTCTAGGTTCTGTAGAACTGGCTGTAGGAGTCCTCCTTTACAGATAGACCAGAGTAGAGTTTTGTGGTACCAGTTTTCTGTAAAAATGAAGTTCTAACCTTCTAATGATGACCTCAACAGTAACTTGTTCACCCCTCAGGCTCCATATCTGATCTATGTGGAGGTTCTGGAGTGTGAGAACTTTGAGACCTCCAATGTTCCTATTCGAATCCCGGAGAACCGGATCAGGAGCACACGTTCTGTTGAGAACCTGCCCGACTATGGCATGACTGCTGAGCAACGAGCCAGTAGCTTTTCTGTTGTTCCGAACTATGACAACGACGATGAGGCCTGGTCCGTGGACGACATCGGAGAGCTGCAGGTGGAGGTGAGGACCCTCACACAGAAGAAGTGATATCATCATTATTTATTTTTTTTTTTTTAATCGGGATCACAAACGTTCTGATGTTGTCATTCCAACTACGTAAAGGTCTATAAAAGCACACAGATGCTGTGGGTTCAGTTCAGTTGATTTAATGATAGAACAACCAGGGGTTGAGTTCTGGTCCTGGTGGAACACAACATCAGATCAGAAGTTTGCAGAACCATCTCAGTTCTGGTTCTATTTGTTCGAGAACCACAAATTAATGCTGCTAACGTTCTGTCCCCCAGCTCCCAGAAGGCTTCACCAATAGCTGTGACAACATCAGTCAGTTCTCCGTGGACAGCATCACCAGCCTGGAGAACAAGGAACCTGTCTTCATCGCTGCCGGAGATATCAGGTCTGTCTGCTGACAGAGAGACTGAGATACATCTGAGCTGTGTGTTGTTTGTACCAACAGTTTTCAAGTGTGTGTGTGTGTGTGGGGGGGGGGGCTGGGGTTCAGCGTGAGGGTTCAGCATGAGGGAAGAGGCAGCATGAGCGCTGCCTGTAGCTTTTTAGCTAGCACGCTGGTATTGTGCGCCGCTAGCTTAGCGCTACATCAGTGGTGACGGGGGGAGGGGGTGTGCGTGGTTCATGGTAGGGGACACACTGATGTTCTAAGGTTGATGTATAGATCGAGAAATGTTCAGAGGATAAATGTTCTCTGTCTGCCCAGGACCTTAGAACATTTGTCACCAAAGGTGAACACCGAAGGTCAGAGAAAGAACTGAGAACATTCTAAGGGTATGTGTACACGAAGAACATTCAAAAGTCATGTAGATGGAGGAAGTTCCAAGGTACTGTGTAGACAACATTCTAAGGTTCTCGGTAGACAAAGAACGTTCTAAGGTCCTGTGGTCCATGGTCTGTGGAAAACCGTTCTGAACTCCAGCGTGGTTCGAGTACAGTGTGAATGTAAACAGACCAGGCACCACTCCACAAGCAAGAAGTGGAGTACAATGCAGGGCTAACAAACACGCATTTCTCTTACCTTATACGGAGCCGTCAGCCGCCTTGTGTGAAAAACAATATTCTCCGTGGTCTTCTGCCTCATCTTCTGCTCATTCTGAGTCCATTTTTGAAAAATGACAAAATATAACTCTTAAAACTGCTAAAACTTGATGCCACTCCGTTTTTGTTTTTATTTCCAGAAGAAGGAGAAGACGTGTCTTCAGAGGTTTTTGTGTCGTTTCTTTCAGTAGTTCTTGGTGCAGCACCCCCACAGGCGAGTGGGGGAATAGGTTGGTTCAAACAGGTTGGCTCAACTGCACAGTGCAGTGTGAATGCAAACGCACCAGCTCGAACGGAGTCTACCAGACTATCAGGTGTGAAAACAACCTCAGTCTCAATGTCTCCCACCTCCCCCGGAACGTGTTCAAAGTTCTCCCGGGGATGGGAGATAAAGTTTCGTCTCACGGGAGACTCTGCCCGTTGTTCCCAGCAAACCCTCACAATACGATTGGGCCTGCCAGGACTAACTGGCATCCCCCCCCCCCCCCCCCCCCCCCCCCCCCCCCCCCCCCC